ATTTTCCTACTTGACTTCTTTTCACCGTTTGACAAATTTTATAAGACTGACAAAAAACAGCTGAGTGAGGGCGGCTCTCATCTCTCAGAACGGACATCTGACAGTCGAGTCACATTCGGTGAAGCGCATTGGTTTGTTTGGGGTGTACTGCTGAACAGTGGCGTCGCCGAAAGTAATGCTCTTAGAAGTTTTTTTTCATGAATGCCAAAATTTTGAAATTTATGTAAAATAACTCACACCTAGGCTTTTCTGCGGTCTAAAAATTTAAAATCATTAATTTCTTGAAAAGAATTGAAATCTCTCCGGATTTACTTTGTTGAAAGTATACTCGCGAGGTCCTTTTTATGCGTTTTTGTCTGTGACAAATGCTAAAGCGCATATTGTGGCGACCTTTGTGTGTGTGTGTATCGGCGTGTATATGTGTGTATATGTTCGTCTGTCCAGGTATTTCAACTCGACAATTGAGTAAGCTCCGATGCTATAATTTTGCCAGTGGGTTGTTATAATTTTGCCCATGTACAAATTAAAAATTTCAAACTTAATCCCCAGGTATCCCCCCGTGTCACGCATAGCCCTGTGAAAATTTTGGCGGAAAAATTGCTAACAAGAGAATCAGAAAAGCTGAAAAGTTGGAATTTTAACGGAATGTTTCCTGTCCAAGTATTGCGCAGTCGCACAATTAACCTTCCGGACTTCGAGGACCAGTATGTCACAAATTCTAGCTACTAGGTTTCCGAGCGATCTTCCTTCGGCACAAAATACTGCAAAAACGTATGGTCGCATGGGCCAGCCTGATGCACGTCGCCAATGACTTTCTTATCTTCTTTACAGCTTATTAAAAGTTCTATTTAATTTACGCATTTATATTTGCAGAAACTCCTCGAAGCTTCAGCGCCCGTACACTGAGCATTGTGTGGTGTGGATTTTGCATGATTATGGTGGCATCTTATACCGCTAATCTGGCTGCGTTCCTCGTTCTCGATCAACCGGAGCAGGGACTCACCGGTGTTACTGATCCAAGGGTCGGTTTTTTACTTAATTGGAAAAAACAACTGCGCCTCTAAATTTCTGTATCAGATGCATAGCGTGGAAGAGTACAGATTTTAACAAGCAAAGGAAATCGCTCTATCAGTTTGGTACGGTTCCGATCCGAACTGATAAATATTGTTTACCTAGCTTCAGAAGCAGCGTACTGCATACTTGCTGCGTTTAGTTATGACAGAATTTGTGTGAAGAAGTCTTGTCGCTAACATTCAGGAAGAAGTTCTACGCACTGAAGAATTTAGGGGCGATTTGTAGTGAGTGATGAATCAAGTGCAACCAATTTAGTGAGAAAATTTTTAAAATTTTTTTTATTAAAAAGACAAATGAATAATTTCAATCCTCTCTAAAGACAATTCCTAATAAATTCTTTTTCGAAAGCAAATCAACGAATTCTCCGCCTCGATTGTAGAACTATAATAACAAAGGCTTTTCCGTTTGGTAGCGCATCACTGATCTTTCAGCTTCGTAATCCATCAGCAAATTTTTCTTTTGGGACAGTTCTCGACACGAATACTTATCAGTATTTCAAGCGACACATTGAATTATCAACAATGCATCGGAATATGGAAACACATAATGTGCGCGTCGCTGCGGACGCTATCCAAGCGCTCATCAATGAGTTCGATTCTGAAATTTTCTTCCGATAACAAGATTCCTGATGAAATTTTTGGCTGTTTAGCAACAGATATAAGCAGCAAATTGCCCTGACGAATGAACCCTTACCAATTACTGGCTGCGAATGGTTTTGAGCGCTCGGGTGTAATAACATTTCCACAACGGCATGAAGCGCCGAAAACTTTAAGCACGTAGTGTGTGCTTCGCTCAATTTTAGTAGTAATTTGCTTGCTTACAAAAATTTTTTTCACATTTCTGCTAGTAACAGGACATTGGATGCATTTATTTGGGATTCAACAAGACTCGAATTTGAAGCAGCTAGAAACTGTGAACTAAGGATTCGTGGAGCTCTGTTTGGCCGATCAGCTTATGGCATTGGACTGCAGAAGAATTCACCATGGACACCGCATATCACAAATGCTATACTTAGACTTTCGGAAAGTACATATTTACCACTAACTTTAAAGCGTTATGAGTGTTTTACAGGTGAAATACAAGGCTAGGCTACCAATCTCTCAGAGTCAACTGACAGGTAAGATCGAGCTTACCGAGGCAAATGAAATTGTCATAGAAAACTCATCAGAGATGAAACACAGACTGCATAGTGACTTGTCTCTTACATGTCGACTTTCATTCTGCTGACCTTATATTTCAAAAGCAACAATAAATTCAGTCTGAGTGAGCAATGGCTCAGTAAAAAACTACCATGCAGTTAAGCACTCTTTAAACACAAACTAACAGATATGCGTAAAAATTCAAAATAACCAATGGCCACTTTCTTAGTTCCATTCGTTGGATGGCCTCGTCTCAAATTAGTGTTCGATATTATCGTTT